TCTCCATAAGACGACTGTGAAGGAAGGTTAACAGGTATATCTACCGGAGAAGGCAAAGAAGAAAAAAACCCTGGTGAACTATGATGTTGTATATGATTTAGGGGTGAGGATTTTCGACTTTTTAATCTCAGTGTTGTTCACGAGATTCGAAATATTCTCGGGGAGGGGGGGGGGCACACCTAATAGCTTATTTTACCGTTCCAATAACCTAATCAAAAATAAAACGCTCAAAGTTAAGATTTAGTAAACGAGCGTCGCCATATTTCAATTCCTCAGAAACATTTATTCTCTATGTTTCGATATTTTGGATACAACTGCCGCGAGTTTTTGACCAATCAGAATCTAGTTAATAAGTTTTTAGATCTTGCCAAATAGTGTGTTTACGGCGTGGATATTTCAAGCGAAAAATTTATTGAAAATTTACTCGTTAGTTTCATTTAAGAATGGAATACATTTACAAAATGGCAAGGGTTATCGAGTGGTATGGTTGAGAGAGGGCTAGAGAAGTTGATAGCTCGGTTAAAAACAAATTTAGATGGAACTGGTTGGAAGTGGTGAAGTAAAAACTGGAATAACTCATTTAAAAAATTGATTTACCAGGAAAAGCTTTTTGCACAATATGTAATGAACTTATAAGTTATGCTTCATAGGTTGCTCTACAATTTTTATATGTGGTACTGTAATATGACTGATCAAATTTAGTAAACTTAGTGGTTTTAAGTGCATCATATTTGTCATATACGCGAAGACAAAAAGAAAAAGACAGGAGTATACACCCAGAATTTTCTCGAAATATTTCAGACTTATTTTTTCCTTTTGACCGTCCTAATCCCATCTTATCTGTAAGTCAGTACCATTGTCAGCGCAAAGAGAAGTTCGTATTTTAAAGCTTTATCAACTAATACAAAGTCGAAGACCAGAGCTTCAGTAATTACTGGACCGTTTTGCATATATGCATGTTAACCACATTAAATAAATACTACATCATATGTCATAAAATTCACAAACACTTACGTACAGACGAAAACAAGGTTCGCCAATGGGTCTAAGTATGAGTTTTTAAGGTGTGTGTATTTCATGCATGAAAGCACATAACTCACACGATCAACTCTTACCCAAAGGATAACAGAAACCATGAACTCGCTACAACTCTCACAGGCTCTTTTTATTCAACATAAAACTCTTATTAACTTTAAAATACTAATCGAACACTCACCGATACGACACTGACAGGGATCATGTTTCTCAAGATAATGCCCTAAAGTATCCCATCCACCTCCTACTCGCACCATCACGTGATTACGTAGAATCTGTGAAAAAAATAAAGAAAAATTGTTTAAGGTGTTTTTTGTAGGTTTTAACACCCAGTCTGCGAGTCAGGGAGACTTATTAATAATACAAAACAGAAACGACGTTTTTCAGCACAATTAAAGATAAAATTTTTATGATTATATATTTCAGACGACTAGTTTCAGTAACAGTTTCTATTTCTTACTCTTGATATAGTAACAAAATATGCCTGAATTGGAATTATCATGATTGGTGGGTTGGTTCCGAAACAAAGCCTTCCCGTACTCTCTCTCTCTCATTTTTTAAAGATCCGAATAGAGACTTGAACTCAATGTGATTTCTGGAATCTGAATTGCCCACCAGCGCGTGCAGAATTCGCACTAGTTTCTGGGTTATGAGGGAGTAAGACCCATACCCAAGTCTAAAATCCCACACAAAACAAGTTAGCGGAGGCACATTACGCAGTAAAAGATCTAGTTCCTCATCTCTATAATGCCGTTTTCTCGGCAGTTTTTGTGAATTATGTCGATAGAATTGCCGTGAAAGATTCAACGAAGCTTACTTGCCGCTGTAAAGTGGCCAAGTGTTGTAGGCGTCTAAAAACATGAACACTTGCACTATTTTTGCCAGAAGAACACAGTTCAATCAACCCATATCGTCGTGACTGAGAGATGAGTTTTTGTTGTTAACAAATCGAGCTTTGTATTAGAATATATACTTTTTGTTCTAACTTGAATACCGGAAACCGTAACACCCCTTTGTAGCCCATCTTCCCAGACTGTACAGTTGAAATCGGTACATTTGGTTTATACAAAGGACGGCCTTTACTTCTCATGCTTCTGTCAGGCCATTTTTTTCAACCGAAATCGTTGCTTGTCCAAGAGTCAACCACAATATATTTGTTACAACCACGTCTAAGTGGGCCTACTTAACAAGACACGTTCTTGTAGTCTACCTTCTGTCAGTTTTATACATATCAGGCAATAATGTTTAGATTTTGTACAAATTGGCAGAAGTACCTCTCACTAGAGAAGCTTTCGGTTTTGAAGGACATGTTTTACTGCAGGAAACAATTATAAAACATTATGGACATGTGTATAATTTAACATGTGATTTGGCCTGAACCATTAATAGCCAACGCAGTGTGTACCAACATTCGTTTTTCAACTTCACATCACAATAGATTACCTGTACTCTGTCAACCAGGGGGGATTAAACCCCAGATTTTAGAGTTGTAAGCCTTAAACTAACCGCTGACCTACCGAGGGTTGGCGGTGATTGAAGTTGACTAGCTGCCTTCTCTCTCGTCTCATCAGTTTCAAATTAAGATGTCTATCTGTAACTTTGCAAGGAATTCTGACACAAACTAACAACAATAGTCTCACTCATTCAGGTCAAAATCTGTCACTCTGTCAGTGCATTTTTCTTTCAAGTCTTTTGTTAGATAAAGCAGTATTGTTTCAAGATAAGTCAGCTATACAACTTAGGATTGTTTAATACTTAAATACAACGAAAATTTTGTTTCATTACAAGTTACAGAAAACAATTCTGGGTACCGTTTCCCAAAATTCCACTATTAAGCCTTTTGTTTCTCATATGCTTCGTAAATCATATTACAACAACCTATGGCAGTAGTTTCAAAACGCTTTCAGACTAAACTGTTGGCACATTGTTTGTATGGTACACTTGACGAGTATTATGTAAAACTTTTAACCGAAGTCTCTCATTAAATCTAAAAAGTTTCATTGTTTATCTATTTATTTATTTTGCTTTACTCTGGCGGCTCTTTCTTGGTTGCATTCTCTTTCACCGAAAAAAAAGAAGTGCGGTTTAATTTGTATTATAATAAAATAATTTATTTTCTGAAATCAAAAGCTGTTGTTACTTCATTTAAACCAGTGATTCTCAACCACCGATCCGTGTGATTTCACAAAAATAATTGGAATATTCACATGTAAATCGTAATGGTTTTCGTTATATTTGCAATTTATAGAACTCCACGATAATTTAGGGAAGCGGCGAGTTGTTACCTGGTGTCGGAAAGGTTGAAAAACGTTGTTCTAAATTATTCCTGATAAATAGAAAAAAAAGGTGAATAAATTATATATGTGACTGACCACAATCAGTGATTACAGAATGAATGAATAAATAAATAAAAACATTTTTTGAAGTTATGTTTCTGAAATCTTTATCTCTTTCAAATATTTTATTCATTTCTTCCATTACTTTTACCTTTGTTTGAATTTAGCAGGTGGCACTATAGACCAAGAAAACAACCTTATTTATAATTTCTGAACTTAATAGCGAAATCAAATCTTAAATATGCAAATTATAACATACGTATTTCAAGAAGCAGTGGATAAGGCATATACCGCTCTTACTGGTTACTGAAGACGTTTAAAAAATAATATTTACAAAAATATATATAAATCCGCGGGATTTCTGCACATTTTGTAGTAAGCACCGTTTTATCCGTATCAAAACGGTAAAACTTCGTTAAACTGGCCATTATTTTAATTCACATATAAATATAACGAATAAAATGACGTTACAATTCCACTGAAATACTGTACAACAACCAAAATTCTAATTCCACTAAAGAGATGGAAACGCAGACATAAAAAAATGTAACTGACGGCTTGTAACTCTTCTACTAATAATGCATAAGTTTATTGAAATTCCCCATGTAACTAGATAACACTGAATACTGCCATTCTTAAATAATGCAGAAAGAAAACAAAAACAACTGATGGAGTGGATTTTTCAAAATGCTCACTGTTTCTCATTGAATGAGAAAATCAGAAACTTACTACTTTGCCATGAAGAGAGGAAAGTTAATAACTATTAACAATACTAGATGGCGATAATACTCACCCTGACAAAAATAAGAATCTTCGTATTACCAATGCGATATTTTCCTTCCGAAACTCTAACCATCGGAAACTGGCAAGGGCAAGTGCAGCGGTTCAAAAGTTCTACTACCTAGGAATATAACAGCAAAACAAATGCTAAACTTTATATATCAACTGTGTATTATTAATATTTTCTACAATATCATAACAACAACAAACAAAACCCCAAAAATTTGGGAATCCTCACATTTCCCGAAAATATTCTAAGGTTAAAGTTTCTTAGTTTTATATAAAAATTCATATGCACAGAAGAGGAACGAGGTGAATATTTGAAGGATGAGCTCGTCCTAATGGTGTGAATATGTAAACTAACACCTTTAAATTTATCTTTCGAAATATGTTTTTACAAATTGTTTATCACAAGAAGGAATGATACAGATTTAATGAAGTGCATGATAAACTATCACTACACAAATACTTGGTACAGTTTTAATGATAAACTATCACTACACAAACATTTGGTACAGATTTAATTATAAACTATCAATACACAAACACATGGACCCTCACAGTAGTTTCATTTATCTAGAAAGAAAAAATAGGGTTATGTATGTGTGTACTGGCAGGCTGCGATTAAGTCACAATTAAGCCTTACGTCGTATATTATTTTTCTTTACTATATATAGAAAGTTTAGATAAATTTTCAGCAGCTTCTTTAACGCACACTCAGGGTTCAGTGCCACCCATTTCTTTCTCAGTTCCCACGATCATTCAGGAACGGCATTTCTCGGGGCGTTCAACTAGAACAATCCAGATACTACTGTAATTTTAGAGATGTTGAAGTTCACATATGGAATTATTGTTCTAAAATATGGAGTCAAAGTAGACAAATGCTACTGGGAATTCATTATGAGTCATTACTCAGGTTAAACTTAACATCCGTATAAGTAGGACCACTAGGACTTAAGTACTCGGTGATCTTTCCATATGGTTATGGTCATGAAACAGTAAGTTTACCACATCGCAATGTTTGATATGGTTTTCCAAGTACCTATAACTTTCTTCCCCCATTTTTACTACACTGCCTATTGGAGAAGACCTGTTTCGATACAATCTACCACGCGATATATGGAACAGATGATGCAAAATTTGCAATTTTTTCTTCGTACGGTGTTACAAAAACCATATTAGAAATTCAACATTATATTTATAAATAAACTATGATAACAAAGTCTGTAAAGACCAATAATGATTTTAATTTATTGCAACTCAGAAACAGGATAAGTTTTTTTTAAAGCTGCAGATGTTTCAATATCATATCACCTAAAGAGCCCCTTTTTAACGGCCAATAAACTTTTTGATAAACATCGCAATAACAAGTGAAACTTAAATTGATTTTCGACCAAAAGTTATAAGGGTTCCACTATAATCAACGGATTTCATAAATGTTAAGCAGAGGTTAGTCAAACATGGACAAGTTTTATGACTTCTTTGGCTACTGGAGATAGATAGAGAAAACGTCTACACGAAACGAAAACTAGAGCAAGAACAATAGTATATTGCACTGTTAAGTGAGAAAGTTCCTAGTGCAGTATGCTAAAATCCTACATTTTAACAGTAAATGTCATTATATATCAAAATAAGAAAAGCTTCTCACAAACTCATACTAACTTGTACAAGTCTCCATTTTCTTCAACTTGAGTACATGATCGACTAACACTTTCGGGTAAAAGTCATACAGTCAAGTAAGTATAAGCATTATTGAAGTATTGTTGTGATATGTAACCTCCATATAAGACAGAGGATTAGCACAAATTTACGAGCTTTCATATCCTGTCAACTCAATGCATGCAGAACACCTGCTCGGAAGTTTTGAAAATTTACCTGAACACACCTGACTAAATACACATTCTTCGCTTGTTATGGAAAGATGAAATACATCAGTTTTGTATTTTAATACGATAACACTATGGTGGATAGAAAAGGACAGTGTTGTTTTTACAGTAAACAGCCAAGAAAAAGCTTAATAAATTGCGTTTAAGTCTAGGGTATTAAGTTTCTCTTACACTTGGAAAAGGTATAAAATGAAATTCGTTACAGATTAGTTAAAAAGAAATCATCAAATAGTTTTGTACTTTAAATAAGCATGTAATATTTGACAGCATTTAGTAGCGGTCTCTTTCAAGATAAAGCATGACAAGCTTGTTAATATATTAGGATAGCAAAAGTGCAGTCAAGCGTTAAACCAATACCAGCTAATAACTTGAGACAAAAAAGCATGATATTCATCACTATAACAAATTCACGTAGTTGGCTTATGATATAGAACATTCTCACGCAGTTGGCAGAGAACCCATTATGTTAATGCTTTTCAACCAGACTAAATAAAATGCCAGGGAAAATAAAGAAAAACATTCCATTAGCAATGAGAGACAATTCAGGAAATCCTGCTATAAAAGAAAAATAATCTGGAATGTCATGGATGTTGAAGCTGGGATGAAGGGAATCATCCTGTAAGATTATAGATGTTTAAACAGGGGTGAAGGGGAATCGTCCCGGAAATCAAAAGTTTCCTTTTAGAGAGTTGAGACATCCGGGAAGTTATAGGAATTCTACTGAAGAACGTGAAACATTTGGAAGTAGAAATTATCAGGAAAATATGTCCTTTGACCTTCTGTTACGAACACTAGTGTTTGAAGTCTTACTTATAGGTCTGTTGATTAGTGATATAATATTTCCAGGTAGTCATTTCACATGACTTAAAGGAACTTACGTGTTCGCTATTATAAAAATGATTTTAATATTGAAGAGATATATATAAAGTATGAATATCAATAAATCAAGGATAATTGTCATTATTTCTTGCTGAGAGCTAGGTTTTTCAAGGAGTGCTCTTAATACACGTGCCTCTAATACATATAATTCCGTCACACACTTTACAATTTTTGTATCACACACAATATGAGACATGTATAGTTACAGCTTCACAAACTTTGTGGTTTAGACATTGTTATTGAAAACAAGAACTGAAATAAAAAACACCTATCTAAATCAGTCGAACACGTCAATGGCAAACTCGTAGCCGCACGCACATGTTACAAAATTAATGTCAATCACAATGATATGTGAATTACGTCTATGATAACGCCTTTCTTTCTGAGTTGAAAAAAACAAAAAACAACAACAACAACCACAAAAAACAAAACAAAACAGATTTACAGAACCACTACATCAATTTTCGAAATAGTTTTACCGTGTAATTTATAAAAAAATGCGTTAAGCTTAAGGGCTTATAACGCTAAAATCCGGAGCTCGATTTCCAGCGTTAGACACTGCGCAGAATGCCTATTATGTAGCTTTGCGTTTAACATCAAATCAACCAAATGAGATATATTGTATATAGTTTAAAAATTTGCACTGTGCACCATTCCCAGATAATCATAATTTTCTAACATAATCTTACGTTATCATTTACCAAACAACACTTTAAAATTTCAAACTAATTTTACAAAATAGCTTCAGAAACGTGAATTAACCCTGTAACAGCGAATACCTTATTTAGTGTACAATATATAAAGGTTGGTCCATAAAGAACTCACCAACAAAGGCGCTAAGGACACTAATTCTACTTCATGTAACTTTATCAAGAGGACTGTTTATGGGATCAAGTGTGGACATTTAGAACATTTGTAATCTTATAGTGATTCGATGACCATTGCAAGCACAACTTTATCATAAAGAAATATGTACTTTGTTATTAAAAGCTCCATTTTCCAACATAAATCCGCCAAACCCGAAAACGTTAATCATATGAAAATATAAAACAATAAAGCAAAACTACTGTGTAAAAGTTCTAGAAGAACAGAAGATAAGGATATTAATGGAAACAAAACAAAAACAGATGAATTTAAGTAACATTCAATGTGAATTGGTGTTCAAATTTTGTCGATGGATGAAATTTAAAAACGAAAATTAACAGCTATAGAACTGCTCAATCGATGTTAGGAGAGTTTTAAGCATAAATATCTTAATATTAAAACCTTTTCTATACATCCTATAGGGATATTAAGCGAGTTTTTAAGTATAGATACCTTAATACTAAAACATCCCTTGTCTCTTCTAGAAATATATCAGGCGAATTTTAACTGCAAATACTTTAATATTAAAACCTTCCCCCCTCTCTCTCCTATAAAATGGACCCATTCTGGTAATTATGATTAGTATAGTGTTTGACACATTTAGCGTAAACTTATAATTTGGTTTCAGATAACACAATTAATGTGAAAGATCAAGTTTTGAAACTATATATTGTACTTCTAATGATGTTAATAACATCATTATCAACTACTCACTTGTGCGATTAAAGGAACATTTACTAAAATACGAGGAAGTCTGAGGTCTGAAATAAAAACCAATGTTAAAGTGTATAATTCAGAATTGTTATACACGCTGCAAATACGACAACAGCATCTCTTTCATATGAACTTTGATTGGTCTTTATTTTAACAAGTAAAGGAGCGATGGTGCTTGATGCTTGCGCCCCTTGCGCACTGAATTGGAACAACCATTCACACAAGTTAGGCTTCATGAAATATTCCTGAAAATTATATTTTTTAACTCCCAGGGAATGTGATTCATAAAAACATTATGTTACTCTTGTAAACCCCGAAAAAGTGCGATATAAATACGAATGATTTCAATTTGTGCACTGTTACTATGAGGCCACTATTATATATTTGCTTGTATACAATGTCATTACACTCCTCTAACAACAAAAATGAGAAACAACGTGGTTTTGCCACTAGTTGAACAAGAGATCCTACTTTTTGTAAGTATATTTTTCTTTAAATAAAACATTGATAAATGTTTTATATTTTTATGGGTTTATTCAATCTAAGATTGTGGTATATAAGTATCATTCGTAACTCTAGTCCAAATGGATGATTTTTATTCTTTAAGATTGAGAATGACACGAAAATTAAATGTCAAGCGCCACCAAGTACTAAAATATTTTTGTGAATATGTATTCATTTGCTACATTTTCACAGTCAGTAGAAAAAAAAAAAAAATTTAAATAAAATACCGTATAAGGCAAAATACTTTATTTTTCACCTTTCTTCATTTCCAGGA